GGGCCCGGCTGCTAGCGGCGCCCCTCCGGCCTGTCAGGGAGAGCGCCCTCGGAGCGGCGGGCGGAGGCAGCGCTCCCCGTTCGTCCCACACCGCGTTTAACAGCGCAGTTAACGAGCGTGCTATAAATAGGGACTGGAGGCCGGCAGCGGTATCCCTCCATCTGCAGCGTCACTTGGGATAAGCGACCTCAGAGGCCGAGGCCAAGGACTAGGGTGAAGAGTGCAGGGACAGAAGCGAAGCCGGGGGCTCCCAAGGCTGGTGTAAGGCTACTGAAAGATTTCACCCCAGAGCAGCAGTTCCTGGGGCCAGGGGCGCAGGCCCCGCGCGCAGGTCCACCAGCCACAACAAAGGGTGAGGAGGAGCCTAGAGCTCCTATATTGGCTACAGGATTTCCCCTTTGAGCAGTTGGTCGAAGGCTGAAAAGGCCACAAAGAAGATTAAGGGATAGGAACATCTGTTACACTGAGTGTGCGGGGGGGGGGCGGGGTTCAGCGTGGAGGAAAGAAGGCTGAGGGGGATCTGATCCATATGTATAAATACCTGACAGGAGAGTATAAAGAAGACAGAGCCAGACTCTCCTCTGTGGTGCCCAGTGAGAGGGCAAGAGGCAATAGGCACGAATTGAGACATAGGAAGCTCCCTCTAAATGGTGATTTCTGTTGGTTGGTTTTTTTTTTTTTTCTCCCCTTAAGTGTGAGGGTAGTCAAACGCTGGCACAGGTTGCCGAGTGGCTGGGGGGTCTCTATCTTTGGAGATACTCAAAACCCAACTACACACAGCCCTGGGCAACCAGCTGTAGCTGACTTTGCTTTGACCCTGTGCTAGATGATACACAGAGGTCCCTTCCAACCTCAACTATTCAGTAACTCTGAGAACAAAGCCAGTGTCTAGGGCTAGTCTTAGGAGATGGACAAAGCCTGCAGGTCCAGCTGGTGTGGGAGTCCTAAGAGGCTGCCCAAGACAGGAGCTACTCATTCAGGCTATGGCTGGGGATCTCATACTAAGGTTTCTGAGGCTGATGTGTGACATACGTTAGTAATACTACTTAATGCTCTACTGTATTGCGCTGAAAGATTAACATTATCTTGAAAGCAGTCTGAATACTATTTGGCTACTGTCAGCTTCTTGGAAGTGGGAAGTAACACTATTTTTGCACTACAGTTTGGGGTTTTTTTTTGAGAAACTGAAGCCAACATCACAATTACAGAGGAACGCAGTTCTGCAAAACAGCAGTCTCAAGTTACTGTCTACTGAACGTGGTGAATGTGCTGTGGTACAGGCACTAGAAAATCCAAAGGCGTACAGCAGTGAATCTCTCCATGTTTGGCACAAGAGGGATAGCAATCCTTTACAGAGGAACCCAGATGCAGCCCACCTCTCACAGACCAAACCAGACATCTCTGCGCAGCCCTATCAACTGTCTTCCGTGATACTACAACTCCCTCCCATAAACTATAGCCTCAGTTTTAAAAAAACCAAACTGACTGGAAGCCCCTCAGGAGTTCATCCTTGCAACTAGTTCTGCATTGGTGGAAAAATGAAAACTGACAAATAGATTTAGGCTAAAAAAAGAGACTTCCAAAGTACTGCAATACCGAGGATGTCAAGAGATGTTGGCACTAAGTAAGGCAGACAGGATTTTATCAACGTCAGCTATTTTGGGGAGAATATTTTAGTAGCTTGGGGGTGTGTGACTGTCCTGGTTTCAGCACACAATTACAGAGGAACGCAGTTCTGCAAAACAGCAGTCTCAAGTTACTGTCTACTGAACGTGGTGAATGTGCTGCGGTACAGGCACTAGAAAATCCAAAGGCGTACAGCAGTGAATCTCTCCATGTTTGGCACAAGAGGGATAGCAATCCTTTACAGAGGAACCCAGATGCAGCCCACCTCTCACAGACCAAACCAGACATCTCTGCGCAGCCCTATCAACTGTCTTCCGTGATACTACAACTCCCTCCCATAAACTATAGCCTCAGTTTTAAAAAAACCAAACTGACTGGAAGCCCCTCAGGAGTTCATCCTTGCAACTAGTTCTGCATTGGTGGAAAAATGAAAACTGACAAATAGATTTAGGCTAAAAAAAGAGACTTCCAAAGTACTGCAATACCGAGGATGTCAAGAGATGTTGGCACTAAGTAAGGCAGACAGGATTTTATCAACGTCAGCTATTTTGGGGAGAATATTTTAGTAGCTTGGGGGTGTGTGACTCAATTTTTGACACTGAGCTGTGATTTTTACATGTAATGCTTATCCTGCAGCAGCAATCAAGTCAGAACAATGTTATTTTCCAACATAAGTCAACTTCAACTCAGAAGGACCATCTCTGAAGTGTAATGGTTGATCTCTCCCCTACTGGGGGTTTTAACCACTATGAATGAGATCAAGAATCTGGTTTCTGTAGGCTGTAACAGAGAAGACAATTTACTATCACTCCGACTTCAAGCTAGTTACCTAAAGCTGAGCATCCCTGGACTACTCTTATTTAGTCATTTCTCTATGCACACCTGAAAGTTGGATAGTACTGAAAACTCAGTCCCATCTGTATCAAGAAAAAAAAAATCATCACAATATGATCTGTGACTCACCATAATGGCAGCAATTCTCTTTTGGGAACTTCCTTCTATTTCTAAAGCTCAGAAGTTGCTTGATGGGCAGGGAACAAAACAGTCCGTCAGTGGGATACAGGCAAGAAACAAATATAAAATCCAGCTATCTTCTGGAAATGCTGCAAGGTTGTATTCCAGCACACCTTTCTACACCGATTCTCTGAAGAATCTCGTTTTTTTCCCCAAACTTATACCAACTTGATCCCGTCTTCCCCCTGCGAATGTAGAGCCCTGCCTTATTACAGATCCTTCTGGGGATCCGGAGGGCCAGAAATTTAATGAAACTGCCTAAATCCACATTTTACTCTCTTAATTTCAGCATCAGTGAAATACCGTGGTGGATTATAAATCTTAAGATATTACTAAGTCAGCATTGTCTTGAATACTTCTGATGCATTTCACATTAACCCCAGTAGTGGAGTTTACCTGCCATTACAGCTGGGAAAGAAGTCAGCCGACTGCGAATTTTTAATCTGTGAGTCTTTGCCTTCTGCGCCACACAGCCACTAACTGACCATTTGGGACAGCAGTATCATTTGACAGCACAGGAGGAAGAGCCAAATGTTTTCCCATTCTTATTATCAAATACATGAGTTACTATGTGTGTTTTAAGACTATTCTTGGTGAAACTCATTTTTTACCATCGCTGTTTTTGTTACGATTTCTCATGTTATCTAATTGACTTAGGAGGTAAAGAACGGTCTTGTTTATTCTGCAGCTTGTGTACTCATTGCTTGACCTACAAACAGCAATCACATATATAGTTTGTTATTTCAGTAAACAGGACACATACCATGGACTTTGTCAATGTCTTAATTTCCCTGCCTTTTCCGCAATTACCAGCAAGACCGCAGTACAAACCGTACGCAAAAGCGGTTGAAAAGCAGTGTATGTGGATGATAGGGGCAGAAGGGAGAATTTGAGAGAGGTTTAAAATAATCAAAGAGCCTTTGCTGGGAGCGGCAGACCTGGCTGCGTATGCAACTGTCATTTCACAGAGTTATCATCATAAGGGTCATCATCAATTAAAATATCAAGAGCTATGCTACTAAGGACGACAACTCATGTCCCTAAAGCACAGCAGTGAGCACTACCGTGCTCGCTTGGCAAACCTGACCTGAACTGTGCAGGGCATAGCTCAAAACTTGTTTTCCCACTGAAAACACGTTACCACTGTTGCATATCACACAGTTCCTCCCCTGCAACCCCTGGACTACTTTAGTCTGGAAATAAATGTTTCTATGACACAGTTGACAGTTGTGACAACTACAATAGTCTCATCAAATAAATCACTTTCTGCTTATACCGGTTCTTTGCTCTTGCTTAGACTGAGGGACTACCATACAGGAGGACAATGGATTGTTCCCTTTTTCTTCTAGACTACACATTCTATATTCAAAATTAAAAGTTCTTTTTTTTTTTTAGTCTGTTCTCACAGTCAAAAGCTACAGACCTAAAACATGGATAAAAGATTCCACTCAGCCATGCCTTGAGGTCCTGGCAGTCATTTCCTCGCAACATACTACACAGCACTTCTGGCTTTCTGTGGTTCCTTTAGCTTCTTCCCTGCCTTTATACACACATCTCTGACACTAAAATGCAGAATGTCCTCGTTAGTGATTTTGAAAATTCCAGAGCGTAGACCCCACAACTCAAGAGATTAAGGTGCTCACCTGGGAAGAGGTGTAGGTGGCTCTCAATCCCGGCTCCGGTGGACGCTCAGCTACAGCAGAAGGCATCTACTGCACTTCACTGGGGCCTGGTTCCCGCCCCCACCCTCCCCAAGCAGAACTTAAACTGCTGTCTCCCATCAAGAGGCAAGTCATCTAACCTTATCAATCCAACGATAAAAGAGGAGCACCACCATTCCTAAGTCCTTTAGCTCAACCTTCATTCAAAACTACACACTGAATTTGAGTCCACCCTCCCCCAAACTTCCAGGTCAGCCAAACCGATTTTCTTCAGAGATTTGACAAAAAGTTATCCTGTCTTTGTGTTCAGAATAAAGAGATCAAATGACTTTTTAACCACAGCATCGCAACGGAGACTCTGGTTGTAATACTATTTACTTTTCCCAAAGAAGCTGCATTCCAGGTTCCTCTTCGCTGTTAGAAGTACAACTTTGCACTTGAGGAGGACACAAACCCAGTACGACTAGACTAGCCTGCATAACTGACCCCACCAATATTTACTATTTTGCAAGTTGCTGGTTAAGCTGTAAAAATCACTTCTTCTTTCAAGTCACTCCTACAGATACTGAACACCACCAGGCCAAGAAATTCTCCTCTCTGATCCATGAGAATCAGCCTCCTTTGTTGATTCTCCATGTAAAATTAATTTGAGGTTTTCATTTATTCATTGTGAGATACACTGACTTTGCTTGTAAATACATTTTAAAAGGACAGGTAAGGCAAAACATATTAACAAGAGCCCCTCTGGTTTATGCCAACGCTGTTATGAATGCAGAATCCAGTAACAAACAGCATAAAAAACATTTAATGCAAAGTTAAATACAATACAAACTTTATTAAAAATAGGTTGCAAGTGAAATACAGTAGAAATGGGAAACTACAGCAGTTTTGATGTTTTTCATAATAATGCACAGACAAATATGAAAAGCACTTTTACACATATTCACACTTGACCCGAATGCCCAATAGCGGCCAAATCCACTCGACTGAAGGTTATAGGTATTTTTTTGCTAAGCCTTTTTCAGATTCTAGCAGCAACAGTAATTCAGCCACAGCATAAGTGTTTTTCCTTAAGAAAAATTTGTCACTGTAAGGCTGCTAGTGTTCTCAAGATAAATTGGGAGAGGCTTGCTTTTCCTGATTAACAGACATAGCAAGCATGCAGATCCTTCATTAACACTTTGAACCAGTTTAATCTTCTACTTCATATTTAACAGGTGAAACGGTAAAAGCACACTTTCAAATAGGAAACCTGAAATACGTAAAAAATATTTACACTCCAATTTTCATTAACTTGCATTTATTTATCATACAACTCTTATTAAAAGTGATTTCTTTCCTAAGGCAGTGAAAGTCTACCCCTTTGTATTTGGAAGTGTGCACAATTCCCTAAATATATATTTATAAGAGAACAATATGATACAGGAAAAAAAAAATCATCTAAAGCCAGTAAAGGGCTTTGTCAAATAGAAAATTTGTTTGGAATCACAATATATATTGTCTTAACATCACACAATGAGAAAAACTCTGATGAGGTCCTTATTCCCAACATCATCAGCCACATACGCATAGCTGAGAAATAGTGGGAGGAAAAAGATTAACAATTTAAAATTAAATAAGGCTATTACAGTGTGAAAAAATAGCTTGAACTGCCAAGAAGGTTTTCAGTACAACAGTAACAGGACGTCAGTAAAGCCAGCTAGACTAAAGAAGAGCTCGCTAGCACTGCTTCCTCCGCGTGAGCAGAGATGGTTCGTTGCCAGCACACCAAGTCTGTTAACGACCTTACTGACATCCCCGCTCCCAGCCAGCAGTATTGTATTTGATGCTTCACACTAATACGCCAGTTCACTGCTCCATAGAAAAAAAAGAAAGATAGATATTGCTGAACTGATAACAGCAGACTTATCAATACTGTTCCTTGCCTAATTGCCTACTAACTTCTAATCTGTCCTTCTCGGAAAACATACAGATCTGTTCTGCTCACCTTGGAACTGGAATCGTTACTCCTCGCCTTTAACACATTACTAACGTTTTGGTCCTAACCGATGAAGGGCCACTAGCGTAGCCTAGCATCTCTTGCTGATGCAATTTTTTAATAGAACAATTATCCAAAGGTTTTATCTTCACATTTTTGAAAGTCTGAAGCACATGTAGTGGGGATGCATCAACACACAGACTTCTCCATAACTACAGATGAATTCTTACGCAACCGTTTTAGACCCAACAAATATGTAGACCTAGAAATGTTTTTATTCCAAGGTTCTACCTACAGAATGTGTGTTATTCCAGTACTGAGTAACGGTAAGATCTGTATTGATATGCTGATCATTGTATGAACACCATACAGTATGTCAAACTTGCATATAAAGTCTTATTTAAGGTGGCCCAGATACTGGCTTCTTACCAAACAACCTAAAATACTACTTTCTAGTGCACAGTTTAGTTTAGGCAGTTCAAGCTATTCTCACTCTCTCTGCTCAGCAGCTAAAACAAAAGTGTGTCTGTAAAACACCAGGAAAGAGAACTTATCTTTGACAAGTGCTACTTGGTCTGGTGCACAAGAACTTAACCCCCAAAACAGAAAGAAAGAAAGAAGTTACCTTCACGTGATTCATATCATTAAAATTTTACAGTGCTTTCATTGTATAAACCACAAGCTCCTGGCAAAGTAATCAGTTTTCTTGCTATTGCAACATCTCTAAATCTTAATTAACAGTCTTAGATATAGAGGAATCAAAGTCACTCCTTTCAGAAAACATTCATTTTCTGTTCATTAGTAGTGTGCCCCCATCTCAATCCCTCAATTTAGAGATCTTCAGTTACATCTGATAAGGTGCTTTAATCTTATTTTGTGTTCAACTCATTTTCCAGTTCCATTAATTTCCTAGAAGCTTTTACTTTATTGGATACATCCTGACCCTGTGAAAAAAGTCGTTGGCGTTCCCTGAACGTCAAGTTTTCTGGTGCTCCAGGTAAATCTGTATCTTGACTGGAAAGGGAACAAAAAGTCTTTGTTATAATTCTTATCTACAATATCCTTAAATATAGTAATTCTTAGTGACTGGTAGCTTTTTTGACGACAGCAAAATATTCTCCGTTTAGTGTTCTGCAAGGTTTTGTTCCCCACACACACCTTTAATTCTGACATTGTGCTATCACTTAGACAAATCAGTGGCTCATGAGCCACCTCTGGCACATTAACGTGAATGCAACTGCTCGCCAATTTTCAAAGTGAAGTGCAGGTGCAAACTAAGGCTCGGTCTATATTAGCACAGCACTGCTGTTACGGCTCCATCAGCAAGCCTTTCTGTGGTGGCACGTGTCTAGGAAAAAGCACTGGAATACAAAGCTTTTATGGCTCGGTAAACAAAGCTACTAGTACCGAGGTATGCTGTAGCGGCTGCAACACCTCTGTATTTTATTCTCTACTGGCAAAGCTTCCAAGTGCAATCGTCGTCTAAGCTCTTGCGCTTATCTCTTATCCTTGTAGCAAACCAATTTTTGTATTATGTGTTTCTGACCACCGCAGTGAAGATCTCAAATCATTCTTAGTTGTAGCTGTAACAATACTTTACATATGCGATTAACTCTCATATAATAAAGCTTTGAAATATATTTCAATTTCTTGATCAGAAGGAGGTTTCACTGTTAGCTCCAAGAGGTCTCTGCTCTGCACACTCCACTGGAACATCAACTACATTTTAAAATGCAGGAACTGGGCTAACAGCTTCTACAGAATCCTAGCCAAGCCCAGTCACATCTTCAGTACGCTACACAGTAAAGCTTGCCGCTCATGTGTAAGATATGGCCCGTATTATTTATGCTTATTACAAATTTGGTAAGAATCCCACTTGAGAGGTAGTGTTCAGATTTATAAGTACACCTAAAACAGCTGAAGTTGTTAATTTACAATGATTTACTGAGTTTACTCGGTTGTAGCACTGAAATCTGCTGCTGTGAAGTAGTACTTCAGAGCACCTAAAGACTTGTGGAGAACTTATTTGTATTTTATAGTAACCCGCGATACTCCAGAGCCAACTGCAGAACTCTTGGATAGCCCACAGAGCTACAACAACGACAACAACAGAAAATATTGCAGAAGTTAGCCAAGTCAGGTGTATAAGAGTTAATGGACTCCTGCATGTCACCTTTTAGATCTTTTGTCTCTTGGATCCCGATAGACTTCATGGGCCCCAACAGCTGCTCCTGTAGATCCAGTGTATGAATTTATTCCTTATGCAAAAGAAAAAGTAAGTTGAAGGATTGCAGTTACAACACAGAAGTTTCACATTGTGTTTCTTCAAAAAGGTGCAGTGCTTCTTTCAAGAAATAATCTCAAACTAGAAACAAATAAATTTAGAGGGTCACCTGACCTGTAGAATATTTAAAACCAGTACTACTAAATTCCACCCCCCCTCAAAACAGCCGTAATTTTTTTATTCCTAATTTTGAGTCAGAACACATGTTGTTTAGATTATCCAGCACATATCAAATCATGGTCTTTATCTTATTATGGCTTACTGTAAGACAGACATGAGAAGTTGTTCAAGGAGATCGACAGAAAGAGCAACACACTTCATTATCCTGTAACAAGCTCCACAGGAAATAAGTTAGCTGCAGCTGCTCTCTTTATGAGGCTAAAAGTAAGCTACGATTAGTATATACCATCTTTGCAATTCAGCAGAGTCAGAATTGTTGTCTCTGTTTAGTCTGATTAAGTAAACTCGGAAAATGCCCCCTCCCGCCCTTAAATTTAATTTTCAAGCAAGTATCTTGCAGCACTGCACCTTTAGTTTAAGTTGATATAACACACAGGTTTTACACGTTATATTAATTCTTTCTAAAGGCCACAAGACAAAACCTTTTCTTTCCAATCAAAAAGTTTAATAATTTAATCTGTATTTAAGACCATATTCTCTTAATAGCTGTCAGGAAAATAGTAAAAATTAGTGTCAGCACAATACTCAGATTTGTCTTCAGACAGTTCTGGTCTCAATATTGTACGTGTTATGTCTTGTGAACCTTCTTCGGTACAGAAGGAAATGTTTCCTTCTTCCACTGGTATATGTAACTTCTCATAAATATTCAGTAAAAGAGACACACGAGGCTGGAACACGCAAGCAAATTTAGCTAGCGTCCTGTAGGCTAAATTTTTTCCACCAAAAATTTGTAGCAGACCAAATCATACTAGGTATGCCAGGCACACGAAGATTTTTTTCCTTCCAGAGATGAGTCTTGCATGCAACAAGTACTACCTTCCCTACTTTGAAAAGTCTGGATCCACATGCTGTGGTTTACACTTCCACCTGCTTTAGGACAGCAGTTTTGATTTGGGCCTTGGCTTTTTCCTTGGTTAGTTGACAGACCCAGGGGTCTTAAGAGAGCCAGTGGAAGAAGGTACGAGAGCAAAATTTGCAGAAGCGTGGTTTACTGGAGTTAACATTCAGAACAGAAAAGAGCTGTAAAGGACAGTAATGTAAGAGAGTCAGCGAGATGGGAGATGGTAAACTGCACAGTGAATTCTGCATTTTGTGCAAACGGCTTTGTACGTTACGCAGGCAGTCTTCATAGAAGCTTGAGCAATCAGGTGAAGTTAACCTGTTCTCATGGCTATTTTAAAAATTACGAAATAAGAGTATTCAGAATTAGTTGTATGGTTTATGAATTAGGTTATTAAAGGCGAAGCATCATACTACAATATTCCTTAATGGTTACCAAAACCCTAACCAAATCTTTGTAGGTTGTCCTTCTGATTGTTTTCCATAAAAAACAAACGCGCGCACACAAAAAAAATCACTGAACATTTCACTTCCCTGAGATTAATTTTTCCATTAAAATTAACAGAAAGCAGGATTGGGAAATGCAATTACATATGAAATGGCATTCTGGGTTGTGGATGATGGGAGGCAGGAAGAGTGGGGGTGACAACTAGTGACTGATGGTTCTAGAGCTACCTAATCCATTACATGTACAGCCTTCAAAGTGCCAAATAAAGAAGGGAAGCAAGGGCCTTTGGAAGCCTACGTATTGTGATGGCACGCACATTTTACACTCTATTATAGTCAGTTCCAAACAAGAATTTCTAGAAAAAGAAAGTCCTTTGGAAGAACAAAAATTCAGTACAGACAGAGTACAAAAGTTTCATGTCAGAAGCCTGCCGTTTCAGACTATTCCTAAGAGCAAGCTGACAACATAGATAGTCACAGCGCTTAAAGAGAATCTTTTACATGTATAGAGTTATTAACTCTATCCCTGCCGAAACCGGGACAGGGATATAAGGTGCTCAAAAGCTAGAGCCCTTCTGATACAAAACCGTGATTTGGGATCACTGGTTGTGGGTTTGTCAGTGGGCTCGCATGTATGGTAGGTAGGCATAATGGAATTACTTGCATTGTAATGGTAGCGCATAGCAGGCAGTCTACAGCGTGTCTACTTATACTCCAGTCTAATGACAACACACTGAAAAGCTAAAACCTTCCCTCACCTTCCTTTAAGATTTGGAACCTATGACAGAGCCAGACAGGAGCGACAGATGGGCTTGCAGGATTCATAGGGGACTACTACCTCACAAGATCTCACAGGCAACACCGGGGTAAATAAACAGTGGGGTTTTTTCCCTTTAAACGAGTATCAGTGTGGATACTCTTTATGCAACCTGGGTGCTGTACTGACCCCAAACAGTGAAACTGCTAAGCATCAACTGTATCAGTTGGACAGTAACAACTGAGCTAAACTACTGTCCCTTCAGCAATATTAAAACTACACAATGCTGCGCAGAGCTTCTCTTCGGCACTGGAAGCAGTCCAACTGCAGCAGAAGCTAATTTGCCCTGCAAAGGAAAGGATGCCTTGCTGGAAAACGATGACTTCAGCATTAATTGAAAAGGATGCAGAGAGGAAGCTCAGAGTATCATGTACCTGTAGGGCTTCATACATATCCTAAATGAGATTCATACACTACTGCAGCTGGATTAGAAGTCCTTCTGATAGATGGAACCTATTCTGCGGCTTGTGCGCTCCCAGTGACCAGGGCACACCACACCTCTGATTAAAGAAAGTAAGTGATTTTCATAATTTGTTAGGTGGCCAAAAGGGTGATCAGGGATATACCATATTGTAGGCTTCCACATTTGTCATCCAGACTTGAATCTAGTAAACGAGTTAGCCATTCGGCTAGAAGCCAGCATAAACACTTTCCCTTGCTATCTCAGGTGACTTGCTACCCTTTGCATTTTAGAAGGATGATTTGATCGGCTGGAGTTGGTTGTCAGGCATTTGTTGACTTCCAGCACAAGTAAAAAGAACGAACTAGGGGAATGTCATGGCCACCATTCCCTTCAGAAGAATACAGAAGAAGAAAACAAATGTAGGGGAAGCACTGGCAGATGCTGCTATTTAAAGACAAAATCTTTTGTTAATAAACTGCAAATTTATTAGAGTGAGACAGCGGTTTAAAAAAAATTTAGCATGGAACTTTGGACTGAATTAGCTTTGAATTCCTGAGTAGAGCTAAACTAGTACTCTGCAGATAAAATATGGTGCTGAAGTTACTAGAAGCTAGGGCTCTACTTGAAATTAAACTCCATTATGGTTGCCCACTTGGAGTTATAAAAGAAACAAGATGAGGAGACAAAGAAATACAGGGGTGCAGAAGGGGAGGGGAGGATTAAGGCAAAAAGCACTAAGATGAAATTTAGATTTTTGTCTCTCTTTGCAAGAACGCGACACTGTACAAATCAAAAGTACAGGAATGGTGCCCAATACATGAAACTAACTGCATGTCCTGTATGTCTCCTGGTGCTTGTATGTTCAAGAACTATGTCTACAAGGTCATTTTTAAAGCCATTTGCACACACTATTAAAAGAGAGAACCCTGGTACCAATAATGAAAGCAGAAGATAAGCTCTGTCCACGAACCCATCAGAAAAGATTTCCTGTGTTCAAGAAAGGTGCACTTCCAGATGCCCTGAGTAACCAGTGGTCAGTCATACAAAACGCATCACTGAAAGATACAGGATGAAAGCCAAAACCAACAGTACTTTGAACTGGTTGAGTAACAGTTAAAATAATTTCTGATTCATTGTGTGAAAGACGGAATTTTTGCTTTTGAAGAGTTTGGGTAAGGAACAAGGAAATTTGAGAACAAATTTAAAGTCTTTTTTATATGAATCCTCCAATTTTTAGTTAAATTTAAAATTAAAAATTGGAGGATTCATATTGATATCAGGATTTAAGTTAGATCACCATAGTGAAAATAGTGATTAAGTGGGAAAAAAATAAATCACAGAGTAAGCGATTCAATCTACAGCACCAGAGTTGAAAACGTGAGGATAGTTCTGTAGAGACGATTGATTTCACGGAGTCTACCTTTAGAGCTGCTGGCATGGATGAAGCTCGGTTTGTTTGGTGGGGGCTGGGGCTGGCTTTTTTTGGCAGTAGTACTGTTGGCATTGACTGGAGATGACTGGAATGAGTTGGAAAGAAAGAGGCCATCTGAAACTGGGCGAGGCTGGCGGGAGGGCTGCTGTGGCTTAAGGGTGGCAGGAGGAAAGTCACCATAAGATTTTCTTGTGCTGGAGTACTTATCCTGACCTGCTAGATTGGAATCCTCCTCCTCCTCATCATCATCATTGTATGCAACAAACTTGGCAGTATAAATCGTGTCAGGGGAGAGGACCTGTGTTTTGAGGTAAGAGGTGTTTCGCTGAGGTGGGGGAGGAGGAGCGTTAGATGAAGGGGTTGGGGATGGGAGTTCATATTCCCGTGGAAGCGGAGGTCTGTACAGACCAGGCTCGTCAGGTTCCAGTAATCTTCGTTCTGCTTCATCGTGCTGCCTGCGCCTTTCAGCCTCTAAGCGACTGTAATACTCCTCTTCCTGTCGCCTCTGTAAGTCCAGAGGAAACAGAAACACAGTGGTCAGAAGGACAGACATTTCAATCTAAGAGAGATTTAAGTTTTCCATCACCGAGCTACAAACATATTTTTTTTGTTTCCTTTTCTGGCAATAAGCAGGGCATCTGTATGGACTCATACAAAGAATATTTACTACTATGAAAAAAACGGCAGTCGTTCTCTAACACAGCGTTGCTGTTATTTCCAGATTTACCACTGCTTCTAGTAACTAAGGCAGCCGCCTGTGTGAACTAAAGGCGATTCCAGCATTTATTACTCAAAATGTAACTACAGTTAATAAGGGGTAGATTTACTACAGCTGTAAAGAATCTGTGGGAGAGGGAAATAACTAAAATTAACTACCATCTTAAAAAAGGAACTTTGTATTTTGCTGCATGCTTATACAATGTAAATTAATCAACAGGGCCGTGGAATAGATGATTCCTAACAAAGCTTCTAGTATAAATACCAGGAAAACTACTTTCTCGTAGAAATCAAATTACAAAGAACTCTTCTAAAACAGACATCAAATAACTTTTTTAAAAACATTTCTAAAAAACAAATTAAAAAAGCTATGCTAATGATATTTATATGAGGCTACTGACCATTTAAAAGGCCGTGAAATATCTTCTATGTATTTTTCCAGTTTAAAAGATTTTTACTGTTTCAAACTAAATAGTATTTAATGCTGTTCAGCTCTTGTCTAAGCCACATTGTAAATTAATACAAGGGTCTATTCAACAGTTTGTTTGATAACGAATTAAAACGTTTATTTGGAAACTGTATGTTACAAAAACCCTTTTGTCTAAATATAGCGTAACTTCTGCTGGGAATACATGACATTTTGAACAACCATCCTTTCTGTTTTTAATCCATGTATTTAAAAAAAATCCACCTTATCTGCTCAACACTGTGAGTCAGTTATCCTAAAAAACCAATAAATAATTCTGATCGTGTTCATCTAGAGCAAAGACATGAAACTCATCTCCTTGTACTACTCTCTAAAACCACCGTAGTGGTCAGATGGTACCGAGTTCTGAGTTGGTAGATGTACGAGTGTCTCAGTCAAGATCTGTCAGTGAAAACTTTCAAGTGTGTGATCCAAATGTCATTTGGCTGTGTCATTGTCAGAAATTAAGAAAGCTTTGGTTGGTTTTTTTGGTTGCCTTTATTTAAAAATATACTGTAGGAAGTTTGTTTTTTTAAAAAAAAAAAAACAAACAAACAACTCTCCTCAGTCCAGATACACCTTCCTCACTTCTCACCTATCACCACCCCCAGCTTAGCTTTCTTCTACCCATCAGCTCATACTGCTTATGGAAAACGGTCTAACAAAGCTTGAAAACAATCTAACAAAACAAATTAACAAAGTGAATATATCCAAGTTATTGTGGGGTTTTTTAAATACATTTGCTCAATCTTCCAAGATGAAATTTCTCTCAGCATTAAAAGCTAGCCCTCTTTCTTCACTCTGATGTCAGCGTTACTAACAGGCAAGTCTTCAATCTGAACTGTTCTTTCTCTAGGAAGAAGAGGATCTTAACAAACATGCTAAGAGTCAAATGAGGTGCTTTGTCTGCCAGTTTTGAACACTAAAGCTTCTCAAATTCATGTATAATGTTCTGAAGGAACCTAGGAGCCTGAATTTTTAGAATCTGTTTGATGGCACAGTGACTTATATACTGAAATTATTTACTTCCTTTCTAGAAACCAATTCCTTTTCCTCCCACTGTCCAAACATAAAAGACAATATGGAGTACTCATCTCCACTGTATTTCATATTTCTCGCTCTCTCTGTATCTGTAACAATTACTGCAAAAATATTTAAATGCTGTCTCTGAGACACAGCAAAACTCAACACCACTAACTCAGTCATTATAACAAAGAAAGTAGGCAAGTCATGTTGGGGGCTGAAGGAAAACAGAAGGTAATTGATTTCTGCCATAACTTTCAGAAAAGGCTCGAAGGCAAGCCCTTGCCACTGCTAAAAACCTTCAGCCAGTAAGCCTACGGTACTCTTTCTGCAATACCGGTCAACTCTGGGCACCACAAATGGGATATCTGTTTAATTACTTTTTGTTTTATGTTGGATGAACTGCAGCCTTGGGCCACGACCATTATCCCTAGGCCTAGCGTGCTTAACCCCTGCTGACCCAACACTGAGCTGCTACTGGCCAGGCTAAAGAGGAGAGGCCTGTAAGAACCCCGGCAGCACTCAGAAGACCACAACCTTTTCTTCAGCCTCTCTCCTGGTCCGCTCCTCCTCTTGCTGTCGGCGCTCTTCTTCCTGCCTGGCCCTGTCTTCTGCTTCTCGTTTGCGCATTTCTTCCAACTGTTGCTGCCGTCTGCGTTCTTCATCCTGTAACTAACAGAGACACATCTTCAATTTTTTTGTCAACTCATGTGGATAAGATGGGTCCAAAAAAAAAAAACAAACCAAAAAAAGGTAACCCGAGTATTTGCATCTAAAAATAACTCATTCAGTAGAAAATGCTATACTACAGATAAATCAATATAATTTCCAGCTGTTAAGAGTATGCTTTGTTACATTGGTTTCCCTAAAATACCTGGGGGGGGGCAGGGAACAAGCAACCAAAAAAAAAAACCCAAAGAGATGCACAGAACTACATACCATAAAAGCACAAAACACACAGGGAGACATTCTTAGCAGTCATATATGAACCCCTAGCAGAAGACCGAGGTGACTCACGTTCTAGACAGCTTCAGCAGCTACAGTCTCATAGGTACAGTAAAGTGAAATTAAATACTTGGAACCAACAGTCCACAGCTCCAGCAGCCAATTGGTTTTTCATTTTGGATTAGTATTTAAGCACTGGAAAATCATGACTCATTAGTCAAAGGGTCAATCCATTTAAAGTAACAGGCTCATTCAGCAAGTCTGCAAATAGTCTCGGGAGATAAATAAAATCTCCCGCTGTATCTGCAACAGATGTGTTTTGGAAAAAGCAGAGAGGGAGGCAAAGAAATCTTTGACTACTGAGATTAAACAGCTCACGTGAACAACTGATGTCCAACAGACAATACTATTTTATATATGCTTACGATAAACACTGCACAGATAAGAAAACTGAGCGACAATCCAAACTTTGCATGATTCTCTAAAGCAAACAGTATCTAAGCCCTTGAGGGACAGGAATATTCACTGGCACAATAATATTCACAAGTAGAAATTAACTGGACTACGTGCTGTGTTATTTCTGACTGCAGCATATGTTTTAAAGCGATTCCCCCCCAAGATCTTTTGTACTGATTGGTATATCTTGCTATAAGCTGCATGTAACAGGAATACTTCTCTACTCCTGGATGTGTTTTTACAATCCAGTTTCATTTACAGAGAAAGGCCCTTAAGACACAAAGCAATAATGATACAGTAAGAGAAATTTAGTTTTAATAGACTTTGTGAGGGCAAATCTTCATGTAGGTATCTCTCCCCCTCCCCCCCAGGTAATTAACAGGAAATGTGCTTTAAAGCAGATTAGGTTTTCTAAGTAATTTTCCAATCAGCTCTAAAACCAAACTTTTTTGGGGGGACTAATTTTCTGGTCACTATTTCCCCCCACTGTTCATGTAGTATTTGTGTTATGGGTATCTTACGACCTTGTACAACAGGTAATTTTGAAAACATTTGCCTTCTACGTCTTCAAGCAGCTATACAGACTAATTGAAGTGAAAACACCTCTAATTTGAAGTGTTAAGGACCACTATTTTTGAGCATGAAAGCTAAAGAACAAATTCAATTAGTTTCATTTAGGCAGGAATTTGGCAAATGTATACTAGAGGATGCTATCTCCAAGTAAATTCCCCTTAATTAGGGCTAAAACGTTTGTAATTCCTAACTGAAAATGACATAGAGATCAAGCTCAGTATATACCGTAGAGCAGGAAATAAAGTAGTTAACCAACTCCCTGACTGGATTAAGACCTCTTCTTGTCTTGGTTATTAAAAAGATACTATTTTAGCAAAGGATATAATATTGCTGTCAAAAGGAAAGACAGCTAGTAATTCAAAAGAGTTTACAGCAGAGAAGTAATTTCCTCTTAAAAAAAAAAAAAAAGGGGGCAAAAACTGCACAGTGAAAAAGTGCAGGAAAACTCCTTGACTCTGTCCCAATTGCATTTAGAGAAAAACTCTGAATATGGCAATTACTGATCCCAGGTTATGGCATGGATGGCTTTCTGCTTAGTAGCAAATACTCCTATTCAAATGCACTTAAACAAGAAAATACTTCAAACTAAATTAAAGGTGAAGTTTTATTTTCTTGTGAGCTTAACTAAAGAAAGAAGGGAAAACTGGGCAGGGTGCCCACGTGGGAACTGTTATGAACGTCTGAACCATAATAATTGCAAAGACAACTGTATCCAGGTCAGAGGCTATTCTAAACATAATACCTAGTAAAAAGGCCAAAAATGATATGTAAGGCACAAGCGGGAACACAGCAACTATTACAGAGTGACATTTCATTTCTTTATGATTAGTAACTGGTTTCTACTTCAGAGCATTCCCAGCCCAAGGCAGGGAGTGGTGGGATGGTGAGGCACGCCAGAGCGCTTGAAGGCATTTGTGTTTGTGAGTGTGCACAACAGCACCCAGCTCAAACCGAACTCCCTACTTTTCACGACGCTAAGGAAAGCTAGCTTCACGTCCCGTTTCTGGTAAGAGGGCTATTAGATTCCCAGGTTGAGTATTTGGTTTTCACGACGCTAAGGAAAGCTAGCTTCATGTCCCGTTTCTGGTGAGAGGCTTAGATTCCCAGGTTGAGTATTTGTATTCAGTACTTCTCTATCCAGTTAGTTTTTCCTCTAGTTTAAAAGTCCTGTTTTCATGTGATTACCGTACTTCCAGGGTTTCTCCAAAGCAGCACGTGTTTATATTTTAACAGGCAGAAACAACTGATCTGTACAGCCAGAGTGATGAAGAGCATTCTCCCAAGCTTAGCGAAGCAGCTAAGCACAAAGCACTAATTCTTTCCCACTGCTTTGTCCCAGCTCTACTGAAAGTGCCAACAGTTTGCTCAGCCGCACGACTCTGTCCCCCTATTGCCAACATATGCTTGCAGCACTATTCCTACCTAGGAGCGGGCAAGAAAGGCCACCTTTCTTCTGAGCTATTGCTCCTCGTAACGGATCAGCCCATCAGCTCCTTATCAGAAATGTTAAGATATTCACAGGACTGGCAGGCACCCAGGAAGTCTCAGATTCCAGACAAAATTCGTTTCTCCAAGCACTGCTTAGAATGCTTTAAAAGAAGTTCCAGAAGAACTTTAAATTTGTACCTATTTATTTATGACCACTAAAGCTGGGTCAGATCTGTTGGTGGCCCAGGGAATTTAAAAAGACAAGCAGTAGCCAGTTGACAATTCACGCATTAAGTAATCATCACCTTTCACCAGCCTTTTAATTAGCAGAACAGCTATCACCAATGCTCACGTTAGACATACATAAAAAAGCATGGAGCATTCCAAAGTGTATTTCCCCCCCTCCCCCTAGAAACTATGAAGTAATTTGAGTGCATGAAGTGGTATAGGATAGATGCAACTATGCCCAGAAAGTCATGTGAACAGTATGAAAATGATGAAATTGGGAAAAAGAGGTATTTGCTGGGTATAGCGTTCAACATCATCTATTTCAGAATTAGCTTGCTTTCTTTTTTTAGAGCTAAGTTTATGAACATCATAAATCCTCGACTGATTCAGGCCATGGATCCATCTAGCGCAGTATTCTGTCTCTGACCATGACAAGAGCAGCTGCACAGGAGCCTGGCCATTTCTTCTAGTATTTCCCCAGCATTCAGCATGGTACTAGAGATGTCAGCTGGTACAGCCCTGTGTAATCCTTTGTTTACAGGCATGACGTCTGTGAATTTGTCTAATCCACTTCTAAAGCTGCCGATACTGTCTGCCTTCACAACCTTCCTGTCGCAGAAAGATCCAGAAGTTTACGGCCTGCTTGGCAAAGTACTGCATCTGTCCAGTCTCAGCTCCAGGGACCAAGGCTTAAGCAAAAAAATATAGGAGCAGTAATAAGACAAAAATATTGATGGATACTAAGTCTGAAAAATCCATGACTCCTGGCTTGTCCATTAATTCAGAAGGCTGACACACTTCACCTGTTTCCCCGCTGTCAACTGCTTAACACTAATGTACCACACAGATACACTGAACCGAACTGAAGACAAAGTTATCTGAAGTATGCATTTTGAAAGATGACTTTTTAAAAAATAAAGCAGTGCTGAATATCCAAATTTATATGTTTAACAGTCATGTTTACAGTTTTTTCCAGCAGCACAAATTAATTATACTAACAGGACTTGCAAGCATTACCCTTCTTTCAAACTGGTATACTAATGATACAGAAATACACTTTGAAGGGGATATATTTCTTCTCTAGAAGACTACAGAACTCTTTATTTCCATGTACCCATTTCCAACGAGAGCAATAAAATACAGAATTAGTTAGAGTCATAGCACTTACTGCCGCAATTTGAAAGCCTGTCATGTTTTTAGATGCAAGAGAATGGTATTAACCAATTGAAACTGAAATTACATGGTAACTTAATAATTGCATGTTTATGTGACCTACTTGGAAATATTAGTTCAGAAGTAATTTCTGAGTTTACAATCCATTTTTACTTTAATGAGAAAATTGTAACACCTGTAAACAGTAGGGTTTCAGCATGTGCTGAAACAGTATGCTGTATTATTAGGCTCTCAGGACAATTTCACTTCAGATTGGAAAGGAATGGTGTTGCTAGAGCTCTTCTAAAACCTGCAGGCGTGGGGAAGGGAAGGGAGGAAATCTTACCTCACAGCTTGTTCATTCAAAGTGCTTAGTAAGATTTTATAAACACGATTGCACAAAACATCAAATACACAGTTTTATATTAGACCACTGCTACAACAAACAAATCAAGCCTGCAAGCAGAACACAACATCTGAAAGGAAGGAAACACAGGGAAAGGAGTCACCACATCTGGAAACATTCAAATGCATGCTTACAGTTAACTTACTGCTTATTGTATCACAATGATTTTTGAACACCCAAAGATGCCAAATCATCATCCAAAACACATAGGGTGGTTGTTAATAATATCAGGAATTGAAATGGGAAAGAGATATTGAAGAGAAAGAAACAAACATACCAAATCTAGAACAGAGATTGCTGGCACAGCAGTCTGCTGCAGGTAGTAAGAAAGGGGGAAAAAAGAAAGATGCACAGTGAAAATAAAGATAGGTTAGACTTGTGCCATTTCAAAAGCATTTTCTTTTATTTGTTAAGTCAGCTGCTTTAGAACGAGGAACTGAATTGACATAATCCTGAAATACAGAAATGAAAACAATCAAATAATCCGAAATTTTTATCAGTTTGACTCATTCAAAACCTCGGTATTTCTCCAGAGATGCTACTTATTGCATCTCTAGTAGTACAAAGAGTGAAACGTAACCAAAATGCAAACATTACTTCAGTTCAAGACAAGTGTTATTTTTTAGTTTCAAGATGTTCCAAAATGCTGGAAGAACTTTACGTACAAATAGTATTTTAAATCCAGCACTTGCAGAGAGGACTGATATAATGTTATGCAATACAACTGGCTTTCTATTAATGACACATGGCTTTTTTAGCCTTGCTACAGTAAAATTTTAAAGACACTGTTTGTTAAAATGGCAGTTTTCCATGGATTTTTTGTGCCCATAGGTAACTGCCTATGTGCTACAAATTACATGTTAGCGATGCTGGGCTTTAACGCAACCTGTTTGCCAAAGATATGATTAGCTTTTCCTTTCTTCAGTTTCTTCCAAGTTTGAGGTATCTATTGTTTTACACAGTAATAAAGTTAGCCACAAGAAAAAAGGAAAGCAATGCAGACTGCAGTAAATATGAGAAGAGTAAGTTTAGGAAATCAAGCTGCCAAAACAATCCTGAACTCAAGTATTACTCAAGCTGATAGCTATTTCTGAATGTCAAAATAAGCACGTGCAAACATTTCTCAAGAATTAAAAATTGCTTATCACAGAATTAAGTCAACTTTCTAAGATAAACAAACAGAATCCTGACACTCAGCATATTACAGAGCTAGTTTTTAAGCCCGTCAAAGCATAGCTATTGGTATGTAACTTTGGTATCCGTGCTATTATTCAGAAAAGAAAAACAAATTTTCCTATAGAAATTGTTTCCCAGTAACAATAGATTTAACAGATTCTGAGAGACAACAGCCACCAACAGGGTGATAAAACCTTCATCGTACTATTCAGTTGTATTATCTTATTAGATATATTACGAGTTTTCACAGTACTGAAGCTAAGGTAAGCAATCCTTGTCAGATACTGATTAAACTGGACACCACGTAAAATCCAGGTATGTATGAGCTGGAGCCCTAGACAGGGTGTATCCAAAACTACGTGGCTCAGCCTAATGCTTCCCCGCAGCACTGTTGGGATCACCACTGAGGTGGTGGTAAAGGTAGAGGTAGCAGCTGCCTTATGCCCCAGCCTCTACTGGAAAAGACCAGCAAAGTGGAACCTCAGTTCAGTTCACTGTTCCCTGGAAACAGCATGCATTCAGTGTCTATGTTCAGGTCCAAGACTATAAAAAACCTTAGAAATATTCAGTTCACTGTTCCCTGGAAACAGCATGCATTCAGTGTCTATGTTCAGGTCCAAGACTATAAAAAACACTTAGAAATAAATAAAGGGGGGGAGGGGGAGGAATCACACTGTTTTTTGTTCCTGATTCTCCTAGAGACTTTCATAATTTCGAATGTTTTTGCTTACCTTCCTGTAAGCAAATTCCTGCCATATTTAACCTTCTAATCCTACTCCAGCTATAGGGCAAAATTGCTTTATCCAAAGGGAATTTCTTTCCCCACAACCAGAAAAGTAAATGTGACTGCCAACTTGGATTCTATAATAGGTATCTATGATACTTTCATAGTACATCACTTAACTGGTGAAGCCACTGTAAGTTAGCAACTTTAAAGTTCAAGGTATTTAAGAAAGCTTCATCCTCCTTTACCCTATAAGAACATGAAAATACCCACCAAGATACACATTTACAATACTTTTGTCTAGAAAGGATTATCCCCTTTTACCCTTGCTCTTCTTTCTGCCTCCAGTCGCTGCATGATGAGCATAGTATCCACATCATCATCCTCCTCTTCATCATCATCTTCATCCTTTTGCTTTGATTCTTGAAGTCGCTTTTGGAACTGCCACTCAAGCATGAGTTTGCGCAGGCGGTCATTTTCTTCCGCTGTACGATCAGGCTTGTTCTGAAGTTCCTGAATCTCTTTACTCAGCATGTCCACGATGTGCATCTGTTGCTGCTTCTCCAGTTTCTCCTTAGCATCCCGTTTCCAGGGATCTGGAGAGAGGCTGTCACTAGAGGACAGTTCTTCCTTGCTGATAGTAATGTACTGCAGATCTCTCCGCTCAATAGTCCGAGGCTGCTGTTGGGGCTGCAACTCTCGAATGACTGTTTCTTGAGACCTCTGCAAAGTTGAAGGTTTTTCTGATTTCACTTGTTGAAGGGAAACAGGGGGAACCACAGGCTGAGCAGGAATTAGTGGTTGAGAACGCATTTGACCCAGTTTTCTCTCCTGCTCACGACGTTTCCTTTCTCGTTCTTCTTCCAAACGTGCCTTTTCCTTTTCATACCACCTCTGATGCTCTTCTCTTTTTTTACGCTCAGCAGCGGCTACCTGGGAAGATGCTTGTGCTCCTATCTGATTTGGAGGAGGAGGGGGAGGCAGAGGCAAATCCATTTGTAGTTCATCAAATTCAGCTGCATAATGCACTGGAGGAGGCGGCGGTGGAGGGGGAAGATCTGTTCTGATGGGCTGGGAAACGGCCACTGGAGTTGGCTGGCTAGTAGCTGGAGTTTTCCAACGGCCAGGTCCACTTTTAGTTAAACAAGAACCAGGCGAGACTGGTTTGGATGAATGGTTCAGGTGTTCTTGGCTAGATGTGCTAGAATCCACAGATGAATTCATCCACTGATCGCTGTCTGACTTCCGATCAATGTACTCTACATCCTTCCGTATAACAACTTCCAAACGATTCCTCTCTGGCTGGAAAACTTTATCTCGGAGTTCTTCCTGGGAACGAGCCACACGCTGGAAAAATTAAACAAGGCATGTATTTCATAGTCCATCTATATTAAAACATACTTGAAAAATGGCTCACAAACTGCATTCTTATGACTGAAGGTAATTACTTTTAGTGAATTTCAGCATTTCCATGCCCAGTAAGTTTCCTAAAGCCAACAATAAAATATTCTTCTCAGTCTTTTTAACTCATTCAAGTCATGGAAGACTTTGCAACCTTTGAAATGCCTGGAAACCTGGACTGCGAGGAAGGATGAATGCAAAATGGAGCTTAAGCTGAAAACCTCCCCCGCTCGCACAATTTCTCAGGACTATCCCTGACACCCCTTCCCCCACATGTGAGCACGAGAGTCCTGGCAGCTTGGAACAGCAGCTCAGGCATACCAGCTCTGCCATTCAGCCTTCAGCTGGCTCGATTGAATATTTTTCCTATTGGGAAGGCAAACAGAAGGGCTGCTGAGGAAGAGACAAGGGAGCTGCTGCCCACCCCCATCCATTAACAGGCAAGATGACCCGCAGGAAGCTCTCATTACTATAGCGCTGCTCACAGGTATGGGATCTGGGCAGTCAGGTCTAATTCTACCTGCTCTTGGGGCACGGGTGTATTAGTCTGCGTTTTTGTCACTTTTTTAGCGTGTCAAACACCAAGTCACTTTTTTTATACAAGCTCAGGGTCTCACTGCACTGTACAACCTCCTGAAAAGGAATACTGGGCCATAAATTAGGCTTATCGAATGTGTTAATGATTTTCTTGAAGCAAATATTCATACTTTGAATGTTAGGAACTACTAAGCACCGAATACATAATGTACCAATTATCAACAACTGAGAGAAGACTAACAAAGCAAACTCCTTTTCTTTTTCCTCCATCAATGACCTTAAGCATGACCTCTAAAGAATGCCTTCTTTGAGATGAACAAGTGTATTTTTTATGCTCTATTAGTCCAGCAGAACTGAACACACAGCTATTTGTGTTAGATTTGCTGTAAAGATGCACCTAGCCAAACAGTTTGCTAATGCCTTCAGAACAGAAAACAGGCATTTCACATCGGTCAGTAGCTTACGGCAGCTTTTTTTACAAGCCCAGTTCTCACTGTAAAGATTAAAAGGGTATTTTTTTATGTTTTTAAAAAGTCTATTTTCCTCTAATTTTCAACTTAAAAGAACTATTGTATGGCAGCAAAAAATTGTGTACACTTTCAATGCCTGTAAGGAGCTAAAGCTTCTAGCCGTTTGCTTTATGAAAACGCTTTTCTGCACAGCATTCAGCCTTAAGACCATAGCTCAAATTCGGTACCTGTCAACAGCTTTAACAGATGGGGTTCATCTCACCAGTTTTAACCACCTCATCTAAGCTACTCACTCAAGCTTGTCTTTAAGCAGGGGAGAGATGCATGTCCAGGCAGCAATTCATCCCATTAAGACAAATGGGTAGGAACCATTCTCTGCGGGTACTAGCCTCCCCCTGTCCCATCACTGACAGAGACAGCCTAGATGATAACTATGCAGCTAAGATTAGGCAAGATGAAATCACAAAACATGAAGGAGTTAAGCATGGAAGTTCAGCAAAATATTTCCATAACTATATGCCACAGTCATTTAACTTGCAGCATTCTCCTTCAAAATTTTTTTTTTATATATACACCCACCCTACTTTGGGTATAACATCTATTTTCTTAACAGCTGAAATAATTAGGATTTGATATCTGTAATACTGAAAAAAAAAAGCACTAAGCTTTTATTCAATTGAGTTTCTACTGAATTCACTTGCTGATACACGTGTGAGTAATCAATAATCAATCCTTACTTTGCTTCTATGACACTATCTCAAGATAATTTACATGACACTGCTCTTCCGAAAGTAAAACATACTGAGCCTGGTGTAAGGCTCTGCTTTTATCACAAATTAAGAAATAGCCAAAAAAAAAAGTTTTCTCTCTGTATTTTTAAGTCTCTGGTGGATTAGAGAAAAAGATGATCCAGTGACTGGATTTAGTAGATCTAGATTTAATTTCCTGTATAGATTTGAGTAAAGTCCTCATTTACAAAGAGCAGAACAACATTATTTTTTGAATTTATAAAGGTACAGTGGGGGTAAATTCATTTCAGGTCAAGAAGCATCTGCACTTTGATAACAGATACAACTGGAATTTATTTATTTATTTAAACTGAGAGCAGGGAATGTGTTTCAGTGAAGACCTTGGATAGGTCTCAAAGTACTGTTTTATTTCATTTTTAGTACTTTACTTTGTCACTTAAACAATGGACCCCGCAGGCAAAGAGATTTTTCCATGTAAACCTTCTTGGAAGAGTGAAAGATTTAGTTTGCTTTTCAGAAAACCACAGAACATTTTACAAGACAAACCCTACTACCACCTACACCCCATTACCTCTAACGGGGGATTAAAACATTCCAGATAACAGCAGGTCTGCAGAACATAAAAACATAAATGCGTGGTGGGGGCGGGGGGGGGAGAGTAGGGTTTCTGAACCCAAGCCAATCTTGGCAGAAGTACAGTTGTTCCCCCCTGCCCCGCCCCTCCCCCGTGGTACAGTTTGTCCTCAACAGCTCAGAGATTATAGAGAGTTGACTGTTCTGCAAAAATGTCTCCAGCAGTCTGGGAGTGGGAAGCAAGCAGTTTCTTTCTGTTTTTTTTCTTATATTGAAAGAAATTACTTCTCACCTGCATTGTAGTATTGATCGAATGATTACTTTCTGCCTGGACCTGTGGTTTTTCTTCGTAATTTGGCCACTGACTCTGAGCTGGACCCATTCGGTCCTGGGACTTTGAAGCTGGGAATGTGAAATATTCTCTAGTATAGGTCTGTGTTGGGATGGGATAAGCTTCAGGTCGCGGGGGCAGAGTCTGTTCCTGAAAAAGGTAGAAAGAACGTAAGATAGAACTTTCTAATCACACATATCTGTACGGAATATTATTCTAAACATGCATTTTCCAAATGTTTTCTTTTGGCTCATAAGAGCATTATTTGCTGGAACAGGAGATAAAAAGGTTGTCTAGTGTCAAATATAATTGTGGTTATGACTCGTGGTTTTATGGTCTGAAAACAAAGTACGCAATATTGTACAAACCTAAGAAATCACAAAGACAACTTCATGAACAAAATTTAATAAAATCACTCAAAGCTGTCTCAATCTTTCATTTGCTGTAATAAGCAAAACCCCCACCCAATCACTAGCACCAGCATTATGTTCAAATAGTTAAGACACTGGTTTGACTCAAGCACAGTGATGCTATTGATAGCTAAGGAAAGTTTAATAGCCAGCACTTTGCTTGCCACTTCTGACCTCTGTACAAAGATTTCCAGTAGAGACTGAGGTTATTTTGGTGGTAGTTCCAGATGCGTAAGCATTCTTTCCCCCGGGGCTTGGAGGCTGATCTGTTGGAAAGTTAAAGGAAGCATTTACATGACTGTTAATAATAATTTACATAACTTCATAAAATAATAGTATTCACAAAATAACTATGATTTTTCCTTTGAACAGTTCTAACAGGAGGCTTGCTCCAAATGTCACTGTTACGTTGGCATTTTAAACTTTATGCATTTTTAAAAACACTCATCCCCTTTTTGAATTCAACAGCCTCTAAAACTAGTGGAGGAGGCACCTACCCCTAAAAGAAGGATAATCTTACTTACTTGCTACATTGGGACTGGAGCGATGATCGGCTCTGTTCTTCATTAATCTATCATCCCCTGGCAGCTTCTTTGGTTCACTGTACTCCGTCCACGGCAGCTGAGGGCTCTCGGGTGACCCATTTTGAGTGGAGTTATTATACAGCTCAAAACCTTCACTCTTTGGTCGGGGTTTACCTGAGCCACGGCGGTCAGAAACTGTAACAGTTGGATATGTATTTTCCCCCTTCCACTTATATTAACTACTGTCTAGCATATTCTTTTTCAAACCAGAGCTACCTTGCATTTATAATTAAAAATGAGTTCCCAGTAAAGCAAATGCTAGATTTTAAAATCTTTACTTCTTCAGATACACAATCCCACTCTTCTATCAACTATACAGGATTCCTTTGATCTGTATGCTTCAAAAGAGCTTTTGAAAAGGTACCACAATATTTGGAAAAGCCAAACATGCTTTACTGAAAAGTCTCTTGCTGACTCTCAAGAGGCATATGGCATCTGGGATGGTGTTGTAAACTGTGATAATAAGGATTTATTCTTTTAACCCATTCTTTTCTATACTGTAGTACTACCCTGTATGTAGAAAAGGTCTTCCTTTACAAAATTATTTCCTTTACAACATTATTTTACATAAGACTTAAATATGTCTTTTGCTAGTTCACTGAAGTGGGATGATAAAATATAACATTGGAGAAACATCCAAGAACTTCTTACGATCAGACACAGAAACTTAAGAAGATACATTTCAGTATTTCTAAAACATGTTCCAGGGGCTTCTAGTTATTTTTCTCTTAGTAATTGCATTGCACTCTTTGGTTTCAAGGAAGTCATATTCTGAGAGGAGGAGAGAAGCTTTTATGAAAGGGATTAAAATTGCCTTTAAGTTTAACACCCTTTGTATTAATTATATTCCATTTGTTAAAATAAAAAATTACTTCAAACCAGAACTGTGTTTAAATGCATCATTTAATTTTTTAAAAGGTACATATGCAGAGCATCTATTAATGATTAGACTAGCATAATGTCAAACAATATTTAAAAACAGATGAACTTTTGATAGGAAAGGAAATGCTTCGTTTCTGTGCAATTATGTTTCTTTTCTGATTTAATGTTTTGGCAATATTTGGCAAGCTACTGTGAAGTATTATATTTTCTGCGTTCTAAGACTTATAAAACTGTTATCAACATAAATAATATTAGCATTTTTACCTCTTTGCATCATTTGGGATGGCTGATTAAGCAGGGTTGCCAGGCCATGGTAAATTGCTCCTTGCTTTGCTACTTCTAGTGTTACTACAGAACCTGTCCTAGTCATAAGTTCTGCTGCCCTGCAATAAAAGCCAAAGCAAATAAAACAAAATAAAATTAGGCATTGTATTGCTTAGTTCTCCTTATTATCAGTTTGTATGTCATGATTGCTCACGTTTATTCTAGTAATCTTTTGTTTGACAAAACACTCCTTCTGATTAGTACTTAAAAATCACTTTGAAAAAAATTAGATGATGATGACTAGACGATACGCTTGTTAAACAGACAACACCTACAAGCAAGTACTATTTCCAATTTCTGCAGTTAAAGGTCAGATTTAAAATTAGAGCTAAATAAAGTTTGCTCAAAACTAAAGTCCAAACATGTAATACAATCTCTTCTATATAGATAACCCATATCATATACAGAAAATACTACGCGAACAGTTGAACTTGTTACTAAGGTTATTCATAGGCAGTTATAAAAAGCCCAGACAAAACCCAACATGTAAAAAACCCACAAAACCACAAACAAAAAGCAACACACCAAACCCAAACCAAAAAACGAGCTTCAGCCCTTTTCAGTACATTATTACTCTAGCATTTTCTTCACGTAAAGACACCCAAGGAAAGCATTCCGTACCTTTCCTGGGACAAGCCCACCAAACTTCGACCATCCACACTGAGCAACTGATCCCCTGCAGCCAGACGACCATCCTACATACATATTCAAGAGAGAAGAAAATTCATACACCAGCGGTTACACGGTCTAAATTCAAACAATTATTCACACGTACTAGTAAACAAAGGATTTAAAAGCATTTCCAAAGGATCTTTCTACCTTTGAACTTCTGATGTTTAAGAATATTACTAACCACATCTGCAGCACCTCCTTTCACAACAGACTTGACATATATTCCAAGTTTGTCTTGACCAGCACCCTACAGAGAAAGAGGCATTAATTTATTCCATTTATACTTGATCTCTTAAGCATTCCACAAGTGTTAATCAGAATTTTACATGGCTAGGCAAACCTCTAAGTTCTCACTACTTTAATATATTCCCAAGCTGGAAAAAAACAATTATACAGAAAAGAGTTACATTCACTTAAAGTCAAAAGAAAATTTTAATATTAGGCCTATTGAACCTGAAAGCATTGTTAGAAGCAAAGAATATTCGGTCTTAATGCAAGCTTGAATAAGAAAGAAAATACATTAAAACTTATACTCTGTAAGTTTGTTCTAATCCCCTTCTAATAAGAAATACTTATTTGCACTTTTACATGCATGTTATTATTGTTTATACCTCTATGTATTATGTTCCAAAAGACTGCACTGTTTCCCTTGCTAATACCCAAATGAAACAAGGTAAATTGCAGATTACAAGAAAAAGGAGTAGAAATGCTTTTTACATTTGTTAGGACTGTAAAGGAGCTAGTGTAAAGGAACAAAGAGTGTCTCTGGTTTTACAGTAAATAAGTAGAGTAGACATTATAATTAATAAGTCTTTTAGAGTTGACAGAGCCAGTATTTAAAAGTCTACTGCAACACCATGCAATTTTGTTCATAAACATCTGCCTCAAAATATTCCGCTAAATTTTGAAAGCACTGTTAACAGTGAACTTACTGCGAGACAACCAACAGGTTCAAGACAAGAGAACATAAGCATCTATTCAAGCCATGCTGTTGCATCATCCACATGCTCCAATTTACAAGACACCACACAGATCAGTCTAAATGTTAGTATCGCAAACCTTGAAATCGTCACTTACAATGTAGGACAATTACTTGTGATTTCGTTATCTACTATGGCAAACCGTGCTGTTTCACTCTGCAAGTCACTTGGAAGAAGAGTGCTAAGTTTTTAATGGAACGTCGTTTTCTAAAATAACCCCCCAAGTTGCTTTGATATTGAATATGCAACTTCTGCCCCCCCTTCTTTTGGCAGCAAAGCATTATTGCTCCCATAACAGTGAACTTACTGCGAGACAACCAACAGGTTCAAGACAAGAGAACATAAGCATCTATTCAAGCCATGCTGTTGCATCATCCACATGCTCCAATTTACAAGACACCACACAGATCAGTCTAAATGTTAGTATCGCAAACCTTGAAATCGTCACTTACAATGTAGGACAATTACTTGTGATTTCGTTATCTACTATGGCAAACCGTGCTGTTTCACTCTGCAAGTCACTTGGAAGAAGAGTGCTAAGTTTTTAATGGAACGTCGTTTTCTAAAATAACCCCCCAAGTTGCTTTGATATTGAATATGCAACTTCTGCCCCCCCTTCTTTTGGCAGCAAAGCATTCATTGCTCCCACCATTATAATAAAGTAAAATAAAATTCAAGGTGAAGATTATTCAAAAGCTAATGTTACAGATGGGTTTCTAAACAGGTGAAGGACTTAGTTTTTATTCATTAAATCTTGCGTTAATCCCAAATGTTTACTCAAAAGCCACAGAAAAGGAATTACTTCGAGTCCCATGATTCCAGATTAACATTCTACATGTCCAAATTTTTCATAATTGCTTAAGTCGTACTTAAAAAAAAGAAAAAATATGCAATAAATAACTGAAGTAAGGACACTTTCTTTGTCTGGAAAGAATATAAGGGCAATTTTTAAAGAAGTTTAGTTACTTTTGTTTGTTTTAAAGGGCTCTAAAGAAACATCAAGGTAACTGCAGAATATTTTTAACTTTATACCAGAAAAATCAGTTAAAGTTATGAGAGATACAAGTCAGAAGACAGCTAGATAAACAGAGTGAAAAACGAAACCATGCTTCACAAATCTCCTTTTTTCCCCAAGCAACCGAGAAGCACAGGGGGAAGGATGATCTGGTTGACAGAACACCTAGACTTCCAGGATACATGTGGCAAGATCTCTTACCAGGAGTTCTTCAAGACTTGAAGGTGACAAGGCATAAGAAGGAACTTGTCCTTGTATATTAATAACTGGTTCAACAATGGATAGGAAGTTACTCATTTTCGTAAGAAATAGAAGTTATCAGAGAAGCCCTGAATGAATGTGCTGTTCACCATGCGCATAAGTGTTCCAGAAAAAGGGCAAACAATAACATAACTAAATTTGCCATATAGGAAATCTATCAGGTAAGTTAAAACCAAGGGTTGGAGAAGGATCACATGATGCTGAACACTGGAACAATAATGGGGGGAAAGAGTATTTCATTGGTCCAAATGTGAAGTAATGCTCCAGCCTTGTAAGGGACTGGTCCCCACCAGGGCACTGTTGGAAGAACCAGTTACTACCTCCCCTTGTTGGGAACTGAAAATTAAGATGATTGGGTTTATATACTCTGAAGCCACTTGGGATTGATGTTGCTTTTATTCAGTCCTAACTTCAAAGGATGCTAGCAAGAATCTCATCCCCCTTGGGTCCAGTGAATCACAGATCTGCCTAATACAGTCAAAGATTACGTAAAAACCAGCAAGCCTTTGGAAGAGCATGGCCACTTTAAACAGTGCACATATTACAATTTTGGGATTGTGACTTTGGTACTCATAAATTACATTAGACACACTATATCCACACATATCACCTTTCTTATGCCTGATTATGATTGTTACTGCACATTAAATGAAGTCAAAACCTTCTGTTTAAGCCCATGATATATGCACTGGTTTGCAGATAGCGATGAGATAAACATTTGCAATTGCAGAAAGATCCATATAATACTTTCTAAACTGGGTTTAACTCCTCAAGAAAGATCTTTTTAGTCACTGTTTTCAGAGCCGGCTTCACATATCAGCTCAAATATCTGGAAGCCAACAGAACTAATAGAAAAGAACAAACAAAACAGAAACCACCATGGTCACCAAACATCTAAAAATGTTCACACTTAGAAAACTGTTTATAATTCTGATTAGTCTGAGGCTCAGAGGATAAGAAGGATGATCAGAAACATGGAATAGCTTCCTTGAGAGAACCAACTAAATAGACGTGGACTCCTCAGCTTAGCAACAATCAAGGAAGTGAAGGTCTATGGGATTATGAGTGGCACAGATTGGATTATTTATCATCTCTCTAATCAGCCAACAGACAAAGCTTTCTTATTCATGCTATCAGCTAGCATATTTTAAAAAGTAAAAAAAAAAAAACCAAAAACAAAAAAGAGAACATTTTCCATAGGATTTCATAATTAAACTGAGAAACTGCCAGGAACAAGACTGCTGTAGATGCCAAAGTGTAAACATGCACAAAAAAGATCACAGATTCATGGTATGGCCCTTCAAGGGCTTTCAGAAAAAATGATACAGGTATAATACATTCTGAAGGAAATTCTGAAATTACAGAAAGCTAGAAACTAGGAGGAACCATCTTACACTTGTTTTGTTATGTTCCTTGGCTAAATACCCCACAGCTGGAGGATACCAGATCAGACGGATTTTTGCTCTGAGTGTAACTGTTCTTATACTCTAAGCCTTACAGTAATTTTTCATTACGATTTGAAGGAGTTGACATTTTACTCTTTGTTCCTTCTTTTTTAACGTTTTTATGAAGCCTATACAGTTTGTCAATCCCTTTCCTGTTCTTTTAAGAGAAGTTACAAGCAGATGTGTTAGCTCCAAGTCATCTCACTTAATACAAAACTGATGAATTTTGAAAGCATAAAAAATGATTTTAAAATAAATCTCCATTCAGATGACACAAAAAATCTTTATCAGCTACCACATCTACTCACGTATTATTAGGACAAATGAGTTCCTTCTCTGCCTACTTCACATGCCATTTAATATGTTTCTCACAATTAATGTGCCTGTGCTCTCACTTATGCTTGGGAAGACCTCTCAGTAAACATCCTCAAAGTTAACTCATCATCTTCCTTCAACTTTTACCCTATGCTTTAGAGTAATTTGAATCCAAATTCTTAATTTCTATTGAAACATACTTAATTTTGCTTCATTTCCACCTTCCAGGAGACTGCATTAGAAGGAAATGTACAGTTATTAAGGACACAAAAAAGATGTTAATACGTGGTTAGACATGCATACTAAACTCCAAAGTGAGCGAAACTCTCATACGCACCACATGGATTTTTGTCCTATCGTTTACTGGCATTACAATGAAACAGGTTTCTTTGTACACTGCTTATTAACCTGCTTTTCTTTCAAAGGAATGTGAAGGTCAACATAACTAAAACTATTCCCCCACAAAACAGAGCAATGACATGTGTGTATCAATAACAGTAGTAAGGTTCTTGTCAGTTCACTTTATTTTCTCCAATCCTGAACAACAAAAGCATGTGTATCTGTAAAGCTGTTAGTCCGAACAGAAGAACACAACTGTAGAGAAGTTAGATGACTGTGGAAAGCAAGAATGTAGTAAGCATAAAAAGATGGTTTATTCCCCCAAGATTAATTAACCTACAGCACATCTTCTCGAATATATATAAAGCCAATTACAAAACCCCCAAAACCACCAGACCCTGAACTGGACTTTTTACTGCTAGAAACCCAAAAGCCCTCTTTAAGAAGGAAAATAAGAGCCAGGAATTGTTCATCTTTTAAACATAAGAACAATTTACCCATGTTTAGACCACACCTGTGAACTTCCAGTAGGAAAATCTTCTTTTTAATGAGCAATACAAAAAAATACTAACGGAGTTTGGCCTAACAGAGAATACTTCAGTTTAAACACTGCCCAAGTAATTCCCAAATGGGTTAAAACAGCACGACATAAAATAATCAGTGTTTCTCTGCTGCAGCCTCAGACTCCACTATTTGGTGAATAGTGTGATTTTTAACCCAATATTTAAACCGTTTCAAATTCCTAAATTCTATCATAGGTCACCTATTGACTTGTCAAGCAGCTCTGAGCAGTGTCTGTAGAGTAACAGTATTCTAGTGGAAGCCGAGTCCCAAAACAATTGCAAAACCAAAAAAGCCACATAAGATACAGATCCCCACACAGAGAAGCAAA